TGTTAAGAAAGGAAAAAGGTCTTTCAGATTTTTTTTAGGTTTTTCCTATTTGCTTTAATAACTTTGATATCAGAAGCACATTTAGAGTCTCACAGGAGAAAACAGCATGTAGAATTTTATCTAGAAATGAAGAAATAATGAAACAAGGTGACAGGTTTATCAATTCAGTTTTACATTCTTCATTAATTAGCTTTTATTTCTCATGCCCTTGTCATTGTAATTCAATTACAACCCAAGCAGTTGCATTAATACATTTACCAAACAAACACTTTTTTCCATCCTTTTTGCGAAAGTAATTTTGGATTTGGTTGGTTTGAGTCAGTATAGTTTTTCCCCTTTAATGTGTGTGTGAGATCAATGCCATTTAAGATCTCTGAAGAAGAAAGTGAAGGTGAGGTGTAGCCAAACAATTTTTAGAGAACTGGTTTAGAAGATGTGCAATCATACCCAAAACTTTGAGATGTGCCTCTTAGTGGGATCAACCTCTGCCTATATCTCTTTGGTAGGTGAGAGTATAAATTATGGGATCTCAGCTTCTTTGTATCTGTATTAACTCCTCCATATAACCCCTTATTTTTGGAAAGTAAAAAGGGCAGACCCAAATAAAGCATGATTTTAAACTAAACAAAGCATTCTAAGAGATTTGAGTTCCCTCTCCTCATCCCTACAGTGGTTCCTTGTCAAACCATTCAGTGGACATTTCCAAATTCAGTTATATTCATTAACTCGTTGCAAGGGAAACCTAAACAGCCATTGTTAAAACTAACATGCAGCTAGAAACAAAATCTACTTTTATTTTAATTTTTTAAGACACTAAACTGTGAATAAACATTGCACATGCACTACCCTTGCATGACTAACCCATTTGATCATGGTTTCTGGCACTTGGAAGCTTTGGTTTGTTCTCCTTCACCTCCTCTTTGTCTTCTGTAACCCCTTCTTTTTTTCCTTTAGCACTCATGAATAGTGTACATCAAAAATGCCCTGTCGAAGAGGTATGTCTGACACAACACTATGCCACTCTTGAATCAAGTATGCTCTGCCAGTTTCGGCTAATGATGCTGTGATGGCACAGGAACAGGGGATTGTTGGCTGTTGCACAATAAGAGTCTCCCACTTCCTAAATGGCATTTGCTGTGCAAAAATTTGTCCCTTGGATAATTTCCTTTTCTCTCTAAAGAAATCCGAATGGAAATATAATGTGGCCATTGAAAAAAAATTATTTGATATTAAGTATGGAAAACCCAGAAAAATGAAGAGGTCAGTCACTTACTTTATGCAACTTAAAACACATGGTTTGAAAAAAAATGTTTCTGACTTTTAATCCACAAGTGATTAAACTTTAGCAAATATCTACCTGGCAACATTTAATTTTTCCTTTTTACATAAAGGAGGGTGAAATACTTTCTTAGATTCTGTGTCTTAGTGTCCTTCCCTTCTATAAAACAAGCAGAAAGAAACATTAAAAAAATATTAGAGAGCACATCTTGGAAATGGTTCATCAAAAGGAAAAGCTGGACATGTTTAACACTTCTTTTTGCTTTATTCATGTATCATTTTAACTAAAGAAAAAGAAGTTTCGGCTCTAGGGTTGCCACAATGCAAAATGCAGGAACTTGTGGAAAGGAAGAAGATGGGACAGGACCAACTCTCTTGGTGGTATCTTGGCCATAGAATTTCTTAAAATTATTATGAAACTGCACCCAGTATATTTTAGAAACATCTTGTATGTAATGCAAATAATTTTTTTTAAACTTGGCCACTCTTAAAATCTGTAATTTATGATCAGGTGATCTGTGTTTTCCATTTTGTTGGTAATGGATTGGTAAGGGCTCTGCTATTATATTGCTGTGACAGTGTATTTTAACCTCTTCAAAACATTTGTTTCTTTTCTTTAAATAGCTTCTCGGACCTCTAGCCATAGTGAGCAACAGAGGGATAGAAGGTATGATGCTGTTATTTATATGGCAATTAGGTATTACTGTAAAACTTGTTAGATTGTGTCACAGTATTACTTTTTATGGCTTTCTCCTCTACTTTATTTTTTTTCCTTTTCTCTATCCTTACTCTGTTTAAAAACAAATTAGACTTGGAATAAAATAGAAATACTGTGATTCTTAAGCACAGAGTAGGTTAGAGCACCAAGCCTGACAGAGTTCAAGAAGCATTTTGGACAATGCTGTCAAGCACATGGTGTGATTCTTGGGGATTTCCTGCACCAGGCCAGGAGTGGGACTCAGTGATCCTCATGGGTCCCTTCCAACTCTGAATATTCTGTGATTCTGTGTAGAGTTTGAGGAGTTTTTCTCATCAGCTTTTGTATGTGTCCTCAAAAAGAGAATGCAACCAACCATCAAACCTCTACAGAACTGTTTTATTTTCCTGACATCTATTTACAGGATCACTTCACAATGAAAATAAGCCCACTTTCAGGCCTCCTTTCAGTTTCTCAAAGGGTATTGAGAAACGAGGTCACCAACCTGGATAGCTGGTGAACTGAGTCTGCTGTTACTGAGATGTGAAGGAACTGTACTCTTTTTTAAAATTGTTTTTACAGGAGTTTTAGAAGTTACATTTCTGCAGGTTTATTTCTGTCAGCAGACAGAAGCTGCTGTAAGCAAATGCTTCATCTACTCATGAAACTCCCTTTTCAAAGGGTATGTTGTGTGAGACTCTAGATGGCTCAGTGGTGCTGCAGGGCCATGGTCTGGGAGCACTGGCCATCACTGCAGCTTGTGCTCTAAAGCAGCTGGTACAGTGATGAGCAGGGGTAGTACCTAGGGGTCCTTAACTGTCGCAGAAGTCCCTGTTGTACCAGATGCTGTAAACAAATAGGCCCTGTCCCACAGGCCTCCTGAGGCTTGTTCTGCCCCACTTTAGCACAGTGGGAGGTTTCCCTTGAGGTTGGAGGATTGACAAGTTTTTAGGTAGCTAGCCAGAAGCAGTTTTAACTATCCTACTGTTTTCACATTGGAGCAGGCTAAGGGCAAACACATGATTAGTTCTCATTACCCCATGAAGACTAAGACTTCTGCCATCTAATTGAGTTACACTTGTGTTTAAGCACTTTAAGCATGTAAATTATTTCACTGAAGCAAATAAACCTACTTTTTGGCTTAGTCATTTAATTGGGTGCTCTGAATGGAAGACTAAGTGTTAGAAAGGTCAGGTAAGTTGCTTTGAAATCATGGAAAAGTACCTTTGGTTAAATCAAGAAGACCTGGGCTATTTTGATTTCCCATGCTGAGAAAACCTTAAACTTTTATATCTAAAAGAACTATTTTAAAATATTTTAGGCAATTATTCCCCTTTGCCTTCATTTCCAGGCGTCCTGAAATTACAATAGTTGCTGCTGAA